TTTTATGAATTTGAGACCTTATTTGAGTGTAATAAAACTTTAAAATAATCTCAATTACAAATTTAATGAAAGTTTAGGACCTTATTTAATACTTAAGCTCTTTTTTTTTTTTCATATTTTTAGAAAAGAGAAAATAGAAAAAAATACCTTCTCGCCTAGTTAATGCATTGCCTAAGCATGCCTAGGCACTAGGTAGTGGCTCAACGCGTACCATTGTCTGGCAAATTTTGCAACATTGTAGGAAATTAGTGGCACAAAATTTTTTTTATAACTCACTTGTAATAAGTCACTTTAAAAATTATATTCAAAAGTTTTGACAAATTGAAAAATTTATGAGAAAGCAATTGCCTTCTAAACGAACTTACTTGAAAGCTCTGCGAAACCGAAGCATGTCCTCAACCTTCTAACTCAAAGCTAGAGTTGCATGATCAAATCCTCTCCGCTCCTCCCTCCCCCAAAATGAAATAGAAAAAAATAATCTCAAGTGATTTGTGTAGGAAGAGGGTTTCCCTTTTTTGTTTTTTCGTTTTTTTTTTTTAATTCTCTCTTTACACTTTGTATATATATATTTTTTAATTAACAACTTTAATAATTTTTTTAATAATCTTTTTGACAATAAACACCCTCTACTTTTCAAAATCGACTAGAAACACAAACTTTCCAAGTAAAAACACGTGACCATTATCCCCGGTTACCTGTTGACGGATATGGTATTATTTTAATTACGTGTCAATTGGTGCGTTGATATGGCTTTTTTTTTTTTAATAAGGTAGTAATAAAGAAATTATTTTTTATAAATTTTTCATAACTTTTATGTATTATTAAATAAATAAAATTTGCAGAATTGACCAAGGCCCAGATAGACAACGCCACAGAACTCGAAAGGGCTCCATAGGTCTCGATCGGACCATGGATTATACCGATTTACTACCTGATTTGATCTCAGGTGGGTAGAGACAACAAAGTAGCTGTCGGTGATTTTTTTCCCCGATAAAAAAAACATTAAGGATATTCTTTTACTTAATAATGTCATAATATTTAATTATAAATATTTATTATATATGTGATATAATATGAATTTTAATTTTATTAAATTTATTATTTAATTATTATTAAATATTTTAATATTTTTAATGTTACCCATTTTTTTTCTTCATTTTATTCTTTTATTTCATCCATTCTTTTATATTTATTTATCTTTTATTTCGATTATCACAAAATAGATAATCCATGTCAGCAGATGGGTGTCCAAGTCATTGACTGAGTTCCAGGTAAGTAAAAAGGGGCGGGTTTAACGGCATGCACGTGACTTTTGTCGTGAAATTTTGGGTTTTTATTGAACTTTGAAAAGTAAAGGCCGTTGGCGGGAGAAAAAATTATTGAGGATGTTTATTGTAAAAAAATAATGTAAATAAGGAGTTTACCATTTTTTTTTTTTTAAGAAAAAGATTTTTATTCGTTAGAGACCACCTTTAGAGTCCAAACAATAGAGGCAGTTGCCTGGCAAAAAAATGTAAAAAAATAAAAATAAAAGGGAGGCAGTTTTTATTACATCATCTCAAATGTTTTTGTCTTGATCCTCTATAGCAGTGGCCTCTAATTTTGAAGTTTCCCCTTGCAAGCTAATGGTCTTAAAATTTAGCTTAAAGTTTGAACTGGGACGATTTTGTTAAGAGAGAAATCCTAATGGCAAGGTAATTCAGCAGAAAGAAGAAGCCTGATGACAACCTAGCAACTGATTTTTGTTAAATTTAGATTCAAACATTTTCTTGAAAATCCTTTCACGATATTTAACAGGTCGGATGTTCAAATTGCAGATTATAACGCAAAACCAGCTGGTGGTCGAAAGAGAGAGCAATCTGCTGGAATGGATGAGGACTAGCCTCTGCACTGAAATCGTTCAGTTATCTTTATGTTGTATCTCACTGTGCTGGTTTCGGAACTTGTTTAGGCATCTCTCGTTTTCTTTTGGATTCCTAAAAAAACTTTTGGCTTGGAAAATTTTGTTCCTTATTTTAAAAAGAAAAATGGTCTTGTACTTTCTTCTACCGTTACTTAAATCTCTTCAATGCCTGTAACCTCCTTCTTGGTTTAACTTAAAAAGAATTGAGGAGGAAAAGAATGAAAGAATGTAGCTATTCTGTGTATACTTACAGGGTGAATTTTTTTGGTTCGGCTAAAAATGTTGAGCAGGGAACAAATGGGAGATTTCCGTTTCAACCCAAACTGCTGAGAAGAAAAAGGTGCAAATATGAAGACAAAATAAAAATCCAAACAAAAGAAGTAGGCTAGTCTACTGCTGCAGTCTTCTTTCTTCATTCTTTACTTCTTCGAAATGGCTTCTCTTTCCTTCTCCCCTACAAAACCAAGCATGGTCAAGGCTTCCTAATCTCCAACTACTACCCTTTCTGTTCCAGAGACTCTTGATGAGCAATTTGGCATCGAATCCATGGAAACCAATAACATCCCATTTGTTGAGCTTACTCAGGCCGGACATGCCTGATGCTCATGTCACTTCATACAAGCCTAAAGTATCCTGGAAAGAAGACGCATTTGAGGAGGTTCCTTTCACAGTTCCTGCCGATGGAGCGGACTCAACCAAGACCAAAGGAAATTCTAAGTGATTTCTGGTTTCTTAAAGTCAACTATTCTTTGATGAATATCTAGTTGGTGGAAAGGAAAATCCAAAGGAGAAAAGATGTCTCCTTTTTTTTATCATTTTTGGTGAGAAAAAGATGTCTCATTGATATTGATAATTTCTTTCAGGTTGACTGGAGCTGTACTGCTGGAACTCTTGAGTATAAATTATATCATTTCCCTCAATCCATTGAGCATGGCAACAGCTGTGATAGTGAAAAACAATGGCAGGAAAGAGATGACGTTGACTAGTGCAATATTTAGCAATGTGAAGTTCAAGAGAAGGGAAGGGACAGCAGTCCAAGGACTTAGAGGCTGCTCGTATTGCACACACCCTCCTCGATCTTCATTTGAGCTCTTATCTCCATCTGAAGCAATGCAATCTCAACCTGAAGGATGGTTTGGTTTTGATAGCGAAGAGAAACATGGTGTTATCTGGAAACAGAAAGATGCTGCTCTCACCATCTTGAAGCAAAAGCTCAGTCCGGCTTATGCTGCTCCACCAGAACAGAGACTAAACACAAGTCATTTTGTAACACCCCATCTGCAAAATATGAAACTCTTGTCAGGTAAATGAACATTATTCAAGTCCATTTCAACCTAAAAGCTTGTATGTTAAGCTGTCAAGGGAGGACTTGATTTTTGAATGTTATTTTTTCAGGGTCGAGAACCCTTCTTCAGGGTAATAAGAATTGGCTTCGAGGACATATATACTTGTTCAGTCCTGGCTCCATGTCTGAAAAGTATGGAAAGGACTATTTCATTTGCACTGACCCTGCTTCAAGGCTGGTGCCTTGCCTGTGGTGGGTGAGATTTGGAGAGGTGCCCAAGTGATTCAACATGATAACATGTGACTATGTTATACAACAACATAGATAATCCTTTTGTTTTTCCCTTCTTTCAATTTCTCTAGGGAAGAAGTTGGAAAATCAATATTGTTTTGTAATATATCATTAGTGGAAAACATGTTTCTTAGGAGATATACTAATAGTTAAGAGTTTGAATTTACATGTTGGAGATACCAAGTTTGAATCCTAGAATGGGAAAGAAGGAATTTAAGAAGTGGAGAGCTATCTCCTATTGTATATCTCATCGTTTAATGTACGAAAAGAGAAAAACTTATATTAACTCCATGAACAAACAAACAAACAAAATGAGTTTCATGCTAGAACAAGATGATATCCTTCATCCCAACTTTCACTACATATCAGTGCTATGAGAACAAAATGTAGAATGGAAAAGAGCATCAAAAGCATTTTAGAACCTTTATTCCAATGGCTGATCCCGTTGCTAGACTTCAAATTTTCAGTTTTAATAAGGGGAACTACCTCGTGAGACACTCTTGCAGATCACCATTAGCAGGACTATCATTTGTTAATGATACAGATTCAGAGACACCATCATATTGCTCACCAACATTACATAAACTTTCCTTCCCATTAACCTCATGCATCAGATCAGGTTGAAAATCATTTGAACTTCCAGAGGATGGACTTTTGAACTTCTTTGTTTTTTTTTTTTTTTTTGACTTAACAATATTAGGGTCCTGAAGTGAGTGAATTAGATTCCATGGAGTGGGGAAGATGTTAATGTCATCAACGTTAATGTGACATCGTGACCTCTAAAATATATGATGAGCAACCAAATCAATACCAGAAAAAGGAAATTGTATTGCAGTACAATTTTGTAGCACTAGTTGGCACAAAATATAATGAAATAAATTTGAGTAGCAATTCGGAAGGACAAATTTATCTGATATTTTAATCTCTGAAGTTCAAAATTCTATAGATCGAAATGTAAATCTTACGTAACTTTTGAGTTTCTTATTTATTCTGGACAAAGGTTCTAGGGCATTCCGAGTCACGCCACTTACACACTTCACTTCATAGTTGCTCTGTTTTCCTCCATTTCTCGATTAGGGTTAGGTTCTGCGAGGAAGAAGAAGACGAAGGAGAAGAAAAATTAAGGGGGGAATAGGAAAAATGGAGTTCTCAATGCAGCCATACGGGATTCAGGCTATGCTGAAAGAAGGGCACAAGCATCTCTCTGGTCTTGAGGAGGCAGTTCTGAAGAATATTGATGCTTGCAAGGAGCTCTCTGCCATCACACGCACTTCTCTAGGCCCAAACGGTACTTGTTTCTCTGTGATAATCCATTTTCTGGATCTATAACTGCCTTTTCGATTCATTTGATTTCTTTGAGTTAGTTTTTCTTGTTCTTGTTTTTCAAGGGTTTAGCGTAATATAGCTGATCTACTGCAATTTAGGGGTTTTGTTTCATTTTTCGTGTCTGGGTTGCATGATGTATCAGAAGGAGCAGTTCCTAATTTCTAATTTTAAGCTATACACTA